CTACAAGACCTGATATAGCGTTCCCAGTCCAACAATTGTCCCAATTCCAAGGTAATCCTACCAGCACCCATCTTCAAGCATTGCACAGGGTTCTTAGATATCTCAAAGGTTGTCCAGGATAAGGTTTATGGTTCTCTGCTAAATCAGACCTCACCATTAGAGGTTACAACGAATCTGACTGGGAAACCTGTCCTAATACCAGAAGGTCAGTTACTGGCTACTGCACCTTTCTGGGTGATTCTCTCATTACATGGAAAAGCAAGAAACAAACTACTGTCTCGAGGTCTTCCTCCGAGGCAGAGTATAGAACACTTGCACAACTCTGCTGTGAAGTTCAGTGGATGAAATGCTTGATGGAATTCTTCCAGGTGCCACACCCTCATCCTATTCCACTTTTCTACGACAATCAGTCTGCTATTTACATAGCAGCGAACCCGGTCTTTCACGAGCGTACTAAGCACCTTGAGGTTGACCTGCACATCACTCGTGAAAGACTAAAGGCTGGGCTTATTACACTGCAACACATTTCTACTAATTACCAGCCGACAGACATTTTCACGAAAGGGTTGTCTGCAGAGAGGTTTCGATTTCTATTGTCCAAGTTAGGTGTATTGGATCAGTACACGCCAACTTGAATGGGCGTGTGAAGAAGAGATGACAGCTCTGCTCTGCTTTCCTCTGCAACGCAACGCACAACACCAAACGATGACGTTGCTAAGGAGAGAAGCCTTCCACGATGGGTTTTGGTACAAATCAAATGGAACGGCTAATGTACAGTGCTTACATACATGTCGTTGATTCATTGGTTCATTTGTAAATGTTAGTGATCTAATTAGTAGAGTTACAGAGTAGATTAGCAGATAGATAGCTTTTCTTCCTTTTCTTTGCTTCTTTTGTACAGACTATATATAGTTGCTGCTGAATGGAAAGGCCATCGAGCCAATTTCCCAAAACCCTAGTTGGCATTATATCCTTTAGCTGAAAATCGGGTTTTAACCAGAAATTCCCGATCACGCGGCCAGGCCACACGATCGTGTGGCTTTCCCAGCTGACCGTGTGAAGGCTCGGTGATTTCCACACAGCCACATGGCCAGGTCACACGGCCGTGTGGGTTTTTAGGCTTGCCCGTGTGGCTTGCTCAGCCACTGTTTAATGCTTCGTTTCTCCCTCGTCCGGACTCCGAATCAGTCGCCGTTTGATCCCAGACGCTCGTAGTCTCGTCTTGTTTATTTTCATGACAAGATTCCATGATTATTTGTCCATAATATGAGGTAGAATTCCATTATTCCTCAGGTCATGCTCGTGTTTCTTCTCCCGAATTGCCAAATGATCTCCGATTGACTTGAAACTTGTGCCTATGGTTCAATTTACATGCTAGGACCTGAAATGTGACAAAGGAACACAACCTAGCGTAATATAGTCCAAGAAAGCATAAAATCAAGCCAAAATGATCAAGAAACAAGGGTGCAAACATGTGCAAATCCGATGTTATCACCTGCAGAAGCAAATCACCCACTTTGTTCAGGATGAAGATGAGACCATTCGGGATGCTTGGGAAAGATACACCAGTCTTTTCCTCAAGTGTCCCAACCATGGTTTTACTGACGCCTTCAAGGTGGCCACCTTCTACCATGCCCTCTTCCCGGAAGACAAGCAGCTGATTGACTCAGTCTGCGGCGGTGCTCACCAAGACACCGCCACAGCTGAATCAAACTTTTGAAGAGATGGTAGAGCAGGGCTATGATTGGGGAACTGCGAGGCGATCGAGACAAGCACCAGGGCGGGGTGTGCATGCTGTAGCCACCCAGTCGTCTGATTTGGTGCAGGTGGTATCGAAACTGGTTTTCGCCATCAATCGCTCTAGAATGATTTCAGGGACTGGACAACAGCAGGTGATGCATTGCCAGTGGTGCGAGAGCACCCATCACAATGTGGAAGATTGTCAGGCGATGAGGGAGTCGACTACACCCTAGGAGCAGGTGAACTTCATCAATAATGCTAGGCGCAATGACCCCTACAGTAACACTTACAACGAGGGGTGCGTGATATGATCCTAATTCGAGAATCCATCCAAACTTGGACCAAAAATCAGAATTGCGCAACGTCGAACTCTTTTGGGGTTTTCTTCTTTCTTCAATAACACGAAAATAAAGGATAGTCGCGGAAATCGATCAAACAATCTCGAACCCGTGGATAAGGCCAACCGATATAGTCGATGCTCGCCACAACCAGACGCGTTCTCTAGTTGATAAGAGACCACTCAAACCTCCCGAATCCTCAAAGGAGAGAATAAGCAAAACGTTCACTTGAACTTGTAAACACTTGTATTTGATTGCTGAAACTTGGGTACAAAATTCGTAGGTCTTACACCCTCTATTTATAGAGGTCTCAAAAACATAAATCTAACCTTCTAGGAATAGAAAAACAAAACCCAAACTAACTATGAAACAATTAAATAATAAAATTAAACCAATAAACTCCAAATATGCGCACTACAGTACTCGGGATCTTCTTCTACTTCGTTGCGGATACGGATCACTTCCCTTCTTTGTCCTTTTCGGTTTTGGATCTTCCACTTCCAAGCAGCTCCACGAAATCCTTCTAGCAAATAGCCTAATTAATCCATGCCAAAATTGATCATGTCACTTTATATCCATGCACGTCTACCATTATTTTCCATGCCTCCGCAACTTCTTATTCAAGCTTGAACAAGTGCATCAATCTAGCTCCGAGCATAATTTTGATCCATAAAACATGCTCCCAATTGATCTTTAAATATTTGAATTTGAATCTTCATTTTCGGACCACGGGAATTAAATATCGTGCTAGTCGATATCGCATCATGGCGCCAGCATCCCAACTTCTCCTGGATTGGGGCCACTCCTAGACCACTAGTTTCCCAGGGACCGCCAGGCTTCTAGAGACCGCCATATCAGCACAGGCAGGGGCAATTCCAACAACAGCAGCAGTCTCTCTACCAGCCCATGTAGGGGCATGCTGCTCAACCACAACCGCGACCCTTCTAGCAGCCAGGTACAGTCCCTGCAACCCTAGTACAGAATGATCCGATAGCTGAACTGCGGGGGCTTGGTGGGTTCTCTTGCCAGTTCCAGTTCTCATAAATTCAATAGTATCGAGTAGTTCATGGAAAAGGCCTCGGGTAAATTCCTGGCTCTTGAAGCTGGCCAGAGGAACACACAGGCTGTCTTGCAGGATATCCAAACCCAGCTAGGGAGTGTGGCTCAAGCAGTGCCACAAAGGGCTCCAGGTACCTTTCCAGGTCATACCATTCCTAATCCGAAGGACCCGAATGCCCAATGTAATGCTATCACTACAAGAAGCGGCAAAGTGATTGCAGACCCACCTGTCCTGGCCAGACAAGCGGGAGGGAGACATGCCTCGGCATTTCCAGCTGTTGAAGAAGAAGCGGAGAAGGAGGTTGAGGTGCCTACTCCTAAGCCGCAACCAGTGGTGAAGGAGTATGTCCCTCAACTCCCCTTCCCTACTCGGTTGCACAAAGACAGGCTAGAGGCAGAGTTCGGAAACTTCATGTCCATGCTTAGGAAGCTGAATATCCAAGTGCACTTCCTGGAGGCACTATCTCAAATGGCTAAGTATGCGAAGTTCCTGAAGGATCTTCTCTTAAAGAAGCAGAAGTTGAGCGAGCTGGCCACTATGGAGCTCAACGAGGAGTGCTCGGCCATTCTGCAGAACAAGCGCCGGCAGAAGCAAAAGGACCCAGGTAGTTTTACTATCCCGTGCTCTATAGGTTAATTGCATGTAAAGAGGTCCTTGGCGGATCTATGTGATAGTATCAATGTTATGTCATATAAATTGTTCAAAAAACTAGACCCATGTGAACCCTGTGCAACTAGGATGAGTATTCAATTAGCTGACCGATCTATAGTATCCTAGGGGCATAGTGGAAGACCTTCTGGTTAAGGTTGGCAGATTCTTTTATCCTGTGGATTTTGTTGTCTTGGACATCAATGAAGACACAGAAGTGCCCCTTATACTGGGAAGGTCTTTCCTCGCCACCGCCAAAGCTCTCATAGATGGACCGATCTATAGTTATCCTAGGGGCATAGTGGACGACCTTATGGTTAAGGTTGGCAGATTCTTTTATCCTGTGGATTTTGTTGTCTTGGACATCAATGAAGACACAGAAGTGCCCCTTATACTGGGAAGGCCTTTCCTCGCCACCGCCAATGCTCTCATAGATGGACATGATGGGACCTTAGTCTTGAGGGATGGCGAGGAGCGAATAATATTTTCCATTGCTAATACTCTCCCTGCTTCATCGCCTTTGCATGTTGTTTCTCACCAGGAGCACGAGTCTATCGTGTATCCTTCTGTGTTTCCCATTTTGCAGGATCCCCCTCCCATATCTTCGCCGCCGCTCCTATCCACTCCGTTACCAAAAGAAAAGATCAAGGAGTAGTGGCGGCCGAAACTGTAGGTAGCTAAGCCTGCTCAAAAGAAAGCCGCAGACAACTATGAGCTGGTCCCGCCTCCTGAGCCTCGACCGCCTTGGCCATCTGAGTATTCACTCGCTTGCATCCTGACGGATGGCCAGGTCGAGTTGACGAGTGCTAGTGGTCACACCCGTCGTGTGCATGGCCACCATCTGAAGTTGTACCTCAAGAGCGATGTCGATTCCCTCTTGGAGGCACCTGTTCCTTCACCTCTCTGAGCATCCACCCTACTGGAGTCTAGCTAAAAGACGGTAAAGAAGCGCTTGTGTGGAGGGAACCCCACCAAGGTTTGTTTTCCTTTCGTTTGTTTTCGGTTTGTCTACTTGGAACTATGGTTTCTATCACGCAGTGTGTTTTGCTGACTCTAGCCCTGCTGACTGGTCCACTTCCAGTCCCCCAGCAGTCTTTCCTTCTGGTAACATCGTTCCCCTTATCCTTCCCTCTGCTCCATTGAGGGCAATGTCAAACTAAAGTGTGGGGGGTGCTTTGTATTATTTGGAATCTTTATATGTGTGCTTGGAGGTTGTGCCCTTTTATCTCATAGAATGATTCAGTTCCTCAACTAAAGATATCATTTGGCACCAAAATCAGCTAGATTGCTGCGATTGTTGACTGATCCCTCTGGAGGATCTTCTTTCTCTTTTGCTACAATACCATTTCCCTTGTGCTCTCTGGTGGCACCTGAGTGTGTCCTGAATGTTGACTATGTTGCACACGTGATGCTGCTAAACTTTATTAACTCCTAAGATTTTCTATGCTCCCAAGTGCAGGCACGCCACTGCCAATTGTTCCATTTTCCAAGCCCAGGGAGGAAGCAGGGATGTACTGGGGTTACCGAGTGCGGTATGCTTCAAATATCAGTTCTGTGTTCAAGCATTGTCCATTCAAGGTATTGATCTTATGCTATCTGTGTTGGTTTTTTATGGCATATGTACTTTTTTCTGCTATTGCTAGGCCCTATGTACGTAGTAAATTTTTACTCCAATTGCAGGGTGGATATGACCACTCGATTGGTACATCTGAGCATGGTCTAAAACGTAGTTCATCAGAGCTTTCTTTGCCTCCTTTCAAGTAATGTTCTTGTTCCTTTCCTCTTCCTTCGGTTGGTTAGTTGTGTGCCTACACTGTTTCTTGCATATGTGCTATAGCTTCTTAAGATTCTTGAGCCTTCAATCTTCTTGTTTCAATCTACTGATGAGTTGGCAGAGATACGTTTAATATTGTGGAAAGTTTCAAGTAGTTGCTACGGTAAATCCAACCATAAGTTGATTATCACTATCGAATGGCTTTGTGTTCGCTACCATAATCTGATTATCAACATCATTCTAGGCATCTGTTGATTGCTTTTGGTGGACTTGCTGGGTTGGAAGAAGGTGTCGAAGAAGACAGCAGCTTAAAGGTACTATTCATCTTCATGTTGTACAAAGTTGAGATATTCGCCATGCTTTTTCGATTATTTGAATGCGAGCTGTACCTCAACTCCCCTCTGCAATATGTACTCTAGCTTATTCATGCTGTTTTTTTTTTCCATCTCACTCAAGGGTACAAACGTCCGTAAGGTGTTTGATTCGTACCTGAACACATGTCCAGATCAAGGGAGTCGGACGATCAGAACAGAGGTTTGTACTTTGTACCGTCATTGTCAGGATATTTTCCCTTACAAAAATCATCTTACTAAATCCCGATGTTTTTTTTTTTACCAACTTCAACAGGAAGCAATCCTCATATCCCTCCAATATTTCCAAGAGCCTATAAACCGAGCTCTACAGAGATTTCATCGCTGAGTTAAACAACCATGGACATGAGCAACTCACAATATTTCCATGAAACATGATGAAGATCTTGCAATCTTTCTACGAGCTAGTAGATTCAGATGTTGTAACTTTATCTCTCCTTTTATCTTTCTGCCTATCTGGGACAATCAATTTAGATTAAAAAAAATTGTTACCTTGTGGAAGGGATTAGCAGGGATTAAAAACATTGGAGTTGGAGGGAAGAGCTTTGAACACACCTCGTTCATCTGAATATGACTCAAAGTTGCACATCTACACTCATGTATGAAGAAGAAAGAAATTTATGTCAAACAATAAAAAGAGAAAAGAAAGGAATTATAATTACATTAGGAAAAAAGTAAAGACAATGTGTTTTAAAAATTGTGCATGGAAGAATATTTAATGACGTACGGAAAATGAAAAGAGAAAGAAGTCGGAATAACATAAAAGAAAAGATAATGATATCATTTTAATATGCAAGAAATGCCAAATTCAATCCTAAAAATGACAAATGACAAATGCATTATGTATATGTACATGAATTTTTTTTAACTTCTTTCACCAATTGGTCACAAACATATTTAAACCATATAACCATAATTCGGTTATGAAAAATATACAAAAAAAATATTTGGTGACCATTGGTGTCTAGTGATATTCTTAAACACATGAAATTTTGTGTATATATTAATGTACCATATGACTGAACTATGTTGATATATTTCATATATTTATAGAAAGTATTTTCTAACAAACTGCAACATATCTACATTGGTTCACCTATTTATAGTAGTTCGTACAAATAAAATGTTAAATTCTTCGTGTTCTAGAATAGCGGAAGAAGATTATTCTTTAATTTTCATTTTTTAATTTTAAAATAAAATCACATGTCAAATTATGTAAAAGTTTATAATTGTGTACCAACTAAATTTATGTTTTTCAGATTTTTTTAATTATTTGTAAGAAATTATAAACAATTATAAAACATATTATAAACTAAAAATAATTTATTTGTAGATGTTAATGATTTTCTTATCAATGCTAAAAAATAGAATATAAAATTTTAATCATGGTAGCTATTCTATTTGTCAAAAAATAGTTGTGATTAATTGCATGAAAGATATTTTATTCTATTGGTTAAAATTTTGAAATGATTACAGTTTGAACTTGTAGGTTGCATGATTAAATCTTAGTTATGGTGATTGCTACTATACATGTTTTGCTCTGGTTAATAGCATCAAATATATTTTATCCTAGTGGTTGAACATTTGAAATGATGATAGTTTGACCTCGTAGGTCACAGGTTCAATTCTTGGTCATGATGATTCATATGCATGTTTATTTAGTTTTATTTTAACGTAACTAATAACTTAAAATGTTAAAAATGACAAAATGACATGGAAAATTGTAGAGATTTCGTTGTCCTACGTTTCATTACAGATTAGCCGTGTGTTCAAAGCTCATTACAGATTAGCTCATTAACTAAAATAACATTATTAAGGATTGTACCACCTGCAATGTAATGAATCATCACCTGAATCAAAATTTACATTTTGGTCAAAGGCTTGGATGTAATTTGGACCCATGGATCAATCCACTCGATGAGGGGTTTCCTTGCAAAATTAAAATTAAAGTATGAATAACAACGAGTGATGTAAGGAGGAATTGAACTTGAATCAGAAAAGAAGTAAAATCTTACCATCTCAATGGATCAAAACTTGCCCAAAGCATTATATCAGCCGTATCGTCGGTCGATGCGGCTGGTTGATGCCTAGTAGAAAGCCACAACCGGTCATCCCGCTCCTGCCTCGATTTATGATGTCGGCGAGGCAATTCGGTGTCCTCTCTGTCACCTTTCGGCTATTAGCGTCAGTGTGAGGCTTTATTAGCATAATATGGGTTCTCGCACACCTGGTTTTCTGAATCTTAACCGTCGAGGTGAATGGCGATGGTGGAGCTTTGTTCATGGTGGCGTTCGCCTCACCCATCGGTTTCGACCTTTTGGGCTCACCATCAACCTTCATCTTCAGCTTGCTTGACTCTTCCCGCAATACCCTACACATGAATTGTCGGGAAGAAAGATTAGCGATAACCGAGGCGCAGACATGAACTTGCCTCTTTCTTAACCTCGGTCTAAAATTTGCGGTGTCTTTCTAGATGGCAGACTCAAGATAAGGTGGATGGCAACGACCGGCACCCTTCGTATCTCTTTGCTGCAATTGTCTTGTTCATGTTGTTGTCGTTCTTTCTCATAACACTTCTTTCAAAATCACCAGCTTGTAAGACAATCACATGCTACTCGCTCCTCGCTACCTTCCATCTTCATCCTCCTGAGTGACTAGCGTTCTTGCGTCTTCAATGGCTCAAGGATTGAGATAGGATTACTGGTAATGGGGAAAACACATACGACATTGGATGAAGTAGTGAACATCAGCTTTGGTGCAACTCCAGCCTTGGTCGTCACGAGATCATTCTCTCTTGGGACGACGACGTTCTTGTAGATGAAGGTTCAATGTGGAGCACAAGGTTTTCTCGATCCGACTTTTGCAACAACCCTTTCTTCTTCGGCTGGTAATGGTTGATGGTAACAGCAATGGCAAGGGCGGCTGTTGGAGTGGCGGCGACCGTTGATGGAGCTGGCAGAACGGTAGTGACCAACGTCACACGCAGCTCCTACTCGATCTTCACAACAACAGTTTTTGGTGGTGTTGGTGTTGGCGTTTCTTTTTTGTCAGATGGCTCCCCTGTCAAGGGCTCATCTAGGGCTGGGAAAATAGACCAGACCACAACGACACCCAAGTCTCAACCTTAATTTTTTGAATCTCTTCCCTCCTTCATTCACGACCACATTTAACTAGAGAGTAGAGGTAATAGTGTCTCCATATGACATTATGTTAATGTTTATGACGTTATGGTGCAAGCTGGGATGTTTTTACTTTGTATCTTTGTTATGTACTAAGATTTAGAGTATCAAAATTATTCATGCATGTTAGGATTAATGTTTTAAGGCAAATAACAATTATTTTTCTTGGTTATTGGTTCAATTTTTGTGTGATTGACTAAATAAATTATTCATTTTTCGTTGAGTGTGGTCTATCTGGACCAGATCAGACCGAACCAGACCGCACATGCGTGGTCTAGACCGGACCGTATAGTCTGTGGTCTGGTCTGTGGTCTATACTTTAGCCTCTCGGTCTGGACCATAGACCGTATATATGTTCTGGTCTGGACCAGACCGCACCGTTTCCCAGCCCTAGGCTCATCAACCTTCATCTTTATCTCGACTAGTAACGCCCCACCCTAGTTATTTTTTAGCATAGCTAAGGCTTGGATGAACTTGGCGTTCAACCTTCCAAAAAATTAGTCGAATTCCATGATTGAGAGTTCAAAGCTTGACACAACTCCGGTACGGATGCCTACAATACAGGGAAGGAAAAAAGAGACCACACAGTTTCGTCCACCCAGAGACTACAATGCTTCTCGATAGGAGCCACGTCAAGGGTTCAGCGAGAAAGGTGAGGGGACAATAAATAAGGAATGAAGGAAAGTGAGAGAGAAGCAAAAATCAGCATGCATCCGCATTCGGTGCGATTCCCATCGCAAACAACCTCCGTCAGAGAGAGTCGCCGAAAGCGATAAAAAACGTGCCTAAATCAGATTTGCCCACTGACAAGGAAAGAAAGGAAGCCAGGCAGGCACACACCAGGGGAGCAGCCAATCAGAGGCCAATGAACAGAGAAACTGAGTCCAAATGAACAGTCATTTGTGTCCGTGTGTACCGGGAATGGCTGTTTGGTCCATTAACTCTTCTTAATATGAATAGATTCATATGATATTAATGATTTTTTACATTTATATATATACTTTGTTAAATTGATATAAACCGGTACAAATCAATTATATCATCAATCAAACCATTTCACTTGCTAAACTGTGGTAACGGTATTAACTCGTTTGACAACACATAGTGAGCGAGCAAGAAATGAGTCGGTTGTCTTTCGCACTCCAAAAGTAACGCAGTTAATGTTAGTTAGTATCCATGCCTGCCATGGAAATGGCTTCAGTGTCTGCTTCTTTTTCAATTCTTGACGCCCTCAGGTCCTCCGGCGCCGGCGCTAGCATAAATTATGCCCAAGTTCCACAACGTAGCTTCATCATTTTCTATTTGGCTCCTTCATTTTCCTTTCCTTTCCAGAGTTTGGCGGGTAAATATCTAAAGCCACCCAACCGGTTCACTGCTTTAAGCAATTCACCCTTCGCCTCAACTCTTCCGGAGCAAAACCCATCTCCGGAGCTTGCTGTTCTCCTTGAAGTTGATGGGTATCTCCCATTTTATTGTTTTTTATTGCGCCTTGTGTTAAATTGTTTCCCCACTACGGCGTCTTTGAAATCTCTCGTGTTTCTTGCAGGGTCCTTATGGACGCATATCGCTTGGGAAATCGCCAAGCTTTCAACGTAGGTTAGGTTATTTCTTCGTTCACTGTTAACTTCAGTTGAACTTGAAGTGAACTCTTTGGAAATTTAAATTGTTTTCTGAGTTGCCAATTTCCGTCCCTTCTTTTCTTATCAGCATTTCGGAAGCTTGGACTTGACTGTGCAAATTGGACTAAACCTATCTACATGCGAAAAAGTTAAAATGCTAACTGGGTGTTTTGTTAGTAGATACTAACACGGTCCAGATGCAATCCAAGGGGCCCAGCCGCGATCCGATGGACGAGAGGGACGGGCTCACTTAAGTGAGCTGTGGTGGAGTGGTAATGGACTTCTTCTTCCAAGTCGAGCCAAAGAAAGAAGCTAGTGGAGTAGTTGCGGGTCCACTACCTTTTTGGGCAGGATTTGAGAGAAGCAACCTAGAGAAGAGAGAAGTGACAGAAAAAGTGGAAAGAAAAAAAAGAGAATTAATTGGAGAGAAGTGAGAAGTGACAAAAAAAAATGGAAAGAAAAGTGAGAAATAATTGGAGAGAGGAGAGAGATGACGAAAAATGGAAATAAAAAAAGAGAGAAGTAATTGGAAGGAAGAGAGAAGTGACAACAAGTGGAAAGAAAAAATAGAGTTGGGAAATTTATTTTTGGGCCACTTTTTTTCTCTCTCAATTTCTTTCACTTTTCTTTTTATATTTATGTGGTTAGATATTAGTCTGGGCGGTATGAACATTTATTTTTGAACGAACTTATATTATACTAGTTTTGTGCCCGTCCGATGGGCGGTGTGTTTCATTTGTATGTATTTTTGTCATTATTTTCAATGACGTCGGTCTTTCACTTATTTTAATATTTATTCTTCGAGTTTCGTATGATAGGAGTGCTGAGTTTCATATGATAGGAGTGTCGCTACATTTTGTGCATGTTTGACCATGATAAACAATAATGTCAAATCTATGAGTCACGACTTCATCGCCACGTGGAAGATCATATTCATTTATTTGATTGACAAAAAAATTTCAACTTCATGAGTTAGTACATGGTCTTTCATTGATTTTATCTTTTATGTATTTATATATTTAAGCCAAATGTTAAAAAGCATATGACATATCCTTCAACTTGGTGACAACTTTACGTATAGAGTTTAAATTAGTTATCATATTTCATGACTGAATAGAGTGGACTTTGAACTTATTTCTCCATCTCACGAATGTATAACTCATCACGCACGATTTGTATCTTACATTTCAGTAGAGTCTCAAATCAATGATAAATTATCCATAATTAAAATTAAGTATAACATGCCCTCATCATTCAAACTATGATCAATCTTACTACCCATATGACTAAATATTAAGATATCATCACAGTTCTTAATACACTCTCGATAATATTTTGGAACTTTGTTGTTTGATGATACTAAAACTTTAAGAATTTTATGGGGCTCTCTAGTGGCTGAAAGTTCGCCTTAATTACTTTCTTCCAACAAAGTAAGACTTTGGGAGTGGCATTTAATTCTTTTTTAAATTTACTTTTTATCTTAGACATTAGAGCCACACGACATTGACATTTACTTGAAGGAGGTTCAAGTGAAAGATTGACATGTTTGATAACTAAACACCCGATAAATAAAAATGATTTAAATTAACAAAAATGATCAGACAATTGCATCTCATAAGCATATAATCAAGGTATAGTTGCAGTCCTACACCCCAAACTATACAATCATAGTTCTATTTTACCTTTAAATTTTTATAAATGATATAAAAATTAAATGTTAGTTATGAAAACACTCTAAATCCACTTCATATTACCATCCAATATTAGTTCAGTAACAAACCACCCAAAAAAGAAGGGTACTAACAGTAACTGTAATGTTCCTCCTTATAGTCGAGTTTCTTATAGACATTTTAACAAACACATCACATAACTTAGATAGTGACAAACATACAATAATTGTTGTATTTTGACTGAAAAAATGAAGCTTTGCTATTGGAAATCTATTGGAGAGGTTAGATCGTGCAAATCCAACTGAGGTTGGGAATGATGGCATCTTGAGCGAAGTTTAAGTACAAAATTCTACAAATATATGGCAACTCAGGATGTTTGAATGATCCCCGTGTCAACAATGAAGTAGAAGCAAATTGCTGAGGGTAATCAAATTTTAATGGATTTACGAACAAAAGAGATCTTAACATAGTGGAAATACATATGACTATAGATGTTTGTTGGAGGAAAAATGTGACAGAGAAAATTTATATTTTTTGAACAATAGTAGGATGAGAGAAGTAAAAATATATGCAAATTTTCTTTAATTTTTGGAAGACAAATGTTCATTGTTATTTAGATTGTCGGGAGTAGTTTAGGTGCATAGCCCCAAATCTATGCACAATGCAAACCACCACCTTTCTCCATTAACTTTTAATACACTCTATATGCACAATTATTTATACAACACTAATTGATACTACTAAATAAAATTTGTCATGTATTTCATATGTGTATGATCCACAATACAAAAATTCAAATGTGTAAGTCGACACCAATCAAAGAACACTCAAAAGAGTTGTTGTAAAACCCAAATTACATATTCTTTCCATAACTTATATATTGTTGTTTATTTAGTTTGTAATACCAGAAGACTACTATGTGTCTATTATTATTTTATGCTCACGTTTAAGGTGGGTAATAGTTTTGGAAATTCCTACACTACGTTGACGTCAGGTAACTGAAATTTTTTTACCCAAACTATAGCAGGTTTTATAGGTCGTATTACGTAAAATACAATAGACATTACGCAATGATTATGTAATGTATACTTTTCTTACGTAACAATTGTAACATGTTATTACATAACCGTACGTGATGGATTATACTTTTACGTAATGAATATTAACCTTGTGTTACGTAAATTGTTAAGCCATTGTGGAAGCCTTATGTAACGCTCCAAATTTAACTGCTACATAACAAATAGATATCTTTTGTAATCTTTACGTAATGAATGTGTACTGTACATAACAATTGTACAATGTCATCATGAAAGGCTTACTTAATTGACGGTCCTTTTACATAATGAAAATTAACACTGCATAATACGTATAATTTAACTGTTAAGTAAAAAAATAACTGTGATCTATAACCTTTACATAATGGGTATTGAGTACAATAATTAAATGAAAATTAAACCATATTAAAAGTTGTGTTAAGTTTGGTACTCATGTGGAATAATGGACAAATTCTTTTTGGCGGAAACAAAAATATGCTTCCTTTCTTATGTATACTCTCTTTCTTCCTTTTCTAATTAGTAATTATTCAACTTTCTTCTATAAGAGAATTGGGTCGTTCCTGCATAGTCCCAAAAAGGGAACTTAAGTTGCTAGGAGAGGAAGAAAGCAATTAACAAATTACATTGGACTCGGCTATGAGGAGTAAATGCCCAGAGATATCTAATAGATTGAATGGAGAAAACCATTGAATTAAATGCATCATTTTATTAAAGATTAGCGAGTAACTGTGGGATGAGCAAAAGCTGATGTGGCATAATCTTGATTTGTTTACGAATCTTAAACTATTGGATATATGATGGTTGATATGTAAATAACTATTTTAATACTTACTTAATATGACACCCTAATACATATATTACTATTACTGTTTTTAGTAACCAGTTATACTCGCCGGACAACCTAACTCATAAGATAATGATCTATATCTTCTCCGTTACCTTTAAGAGTATAGTTCAAAATGACTTATTGTCCTTCCCATTGACCATGGCAGAACATGGAGTATTCAGTTTTCCGTCACCCACCTCCCAGGCCTTCTACCTTAACTTAACTGTCAAGATACATGCGATATGCTATATCTTATTCAGTCATATAAACATCCATTCATCACCACATGCCATATCACATTCATCATCTCAAACTCAAAGAATTCATACATCACAACATAAGGACCATCACTCAGTCTCTTGATAACTCAATGTTTAAACATGTATGCATCAAATATCACATCATACTGCATTACCATGTAACCCCTGTCCCAACATAGCAAAACATCATATCATCCAATCTTAAATCATTGTATAAAACACCATAGAAAACCATTATCATCGCCATGCACATTTCATATATCACATCATAGAAAGTCATCACTTAACCACATCATAAGTAATATTTATACAAGGATTCAATCACATGCATGGTTAGGTTCATTGCATTTTACATCTTAATTTGCCAAGTCATACATTCCTCAGGTAGTATAGTAGATGTCATGCATACCACCACAGATCGTACCTAGACTGGTATCCTATAAATCCACTGTGAATCATACCCTAACCGATGTCATGTATACCAGGGTGGGATGTACCTGGACCGGTGTCCTATAAAATCAACGCATGATCATATCATGACGATGTCCTGTAAATTCAGTTATTATACTGCCTGCACAACATAGCGCCTTTATGTTTGTATTAAGTCACACAATTCCAGTTACAGTCAGTCACATATTTAATATTGGATGATAATGTGAAGTGAAGACAAAGTGTCTCAATAACTAACATTTGCTTTGATATCATTCGTACAATGTTGAAGGTAAGAAGCATAGCAGAATAGTTTTGTTGTACTTTGATATAATGGTGAAAAAGGCTAGCGTACACTCGAGGTGTAATATGCACCTTCATTCATACCTATTATTTTTATGTTAATATATTTTGACAAATAAGAATCGATGGTTATTATTTTTCATTAAATGAATCGTACGATTTGGATTAGAGAGTTAGAGACCGTGGTTCACCTATTAGAGAATATGGTATAGCATCATGTGCCAAACTTCGTTAATACATGGTCTAAATACCAACTCTATAGGAGTTCGGTAAGGTGGCGTACACGAGCTTAAACCATGTACAACTTATGAAGTTGACAATTGTTGGTCCAAGCGGCAATGAAGTTACAGCGTTGTTTGACTTTATTGTTGATCATCATTAAAACATAGAGTAAATGTAGCGGCCCTCATATCAGATAAGTCAGTGATAATAGGTGACAATAACAAATAATTATGAAAATTAGGAATATGATACCATTGAAAAAATAACAAATAATAAAAGGAAAAGTACAAACAGATAACACTCGCCGCCCATCGGGCGGGCAACTAGTAAAGAGTTTAGAAATTTTAAAACCCGACGATAAGCGCATGTGACTGGCGGGCGAGGCGAGGCCAGGAGTAATTAGGCCCAATAATTACGAACATGGGCCAAATAAACTCATTGGCCGAGAAGATTAGGTAAACCAACCTCCAGCCAGATCGGTGCCAACTACCATACTACCCCTACTCTGGTAACGTCGATCATTGGGCGAAAGGTAATTTGAGGATCCTTCATCCTCCTCCTTACAAAAGCCCTAAAGACTCATTCGCCTGCCTCCTCCAACATCTGCGTGCGAAACCTAGCAGCAGCAGCCGCCTCAGCCTCAGCCGCTATCCTTGCTCTTCTTCGTTGAGTCTCCTCTAAGCTTCGTAAGGTTCGTTCTTTCTTGAAGCTCTGCTTTGCTTCTTTCCACTCACGTTCCTTTTTGTATCTCTGTTCAAGCTTCCAACGTCCACCGATCCTTTTCTTCATTCTTGTTGTGGCTATGGTGGATCGTGAAGCTCTGTGTTGTTGAGCGGAGTTTTTACTTCGACTTGCCTGTTGGTTGGTTGTCTGATGATGAAACCTGTAGAGAGATCGATCGATAGGTTTTTGCTGAGTGATGTTTGATGATTGCTTGTAAAACTCCGGATTTCGTGTTCGCCTTCCAGGAATCGATATTATATGGACAGATTGTTTGTGCTCGGATTTGAACGAATCTGGTGGTGGTTGGAGTACGGTCGCATTCTCTGAGGAATTGGTTTCTAATTGTCTTTGGGTGCGATTTGCACTATTCTGTTAGTGGTTGGATTATGGTCTTAGCTGATGCTGATTCCCCCATTTGAGTTTAGTTTGCGATAACTATGAGTTGAGTTACTTAAACTAGAAAACTAGGGCATGCTAATTTCAAATGATGAATTTAGTTATGATGGTGGCATCTGTAACTATGATCATCATGCTCTGCGATTTGTAATATACCAATTGTGTTAGGTTGTCTACCGCACTTAAGCTGGTCATTTAGGTTTGTTTCATCTGTTGAGCCAATTGAATTTGCTGCTTGTGACATTGGTAGCATAGATCCAACACTATGGTGCCTGTTGATATGATAGCTGATGTCCTGTAAATATCATCATCCTGTGTTAATAACTCTTCACGCAGTGGTATCCTCGTTAACTCTACTACCATTTTGTAACTTGTGCAGCAGGATGGACTCTCAGACCAAGCACGCTTTGGTTGTGAAGGTGATGGGCCGTACTGGATCCAGGGGGCAGGTGACTCAGGTCAGAGTCAAGTTCATGGACGACCCCAACCGCTTCATCATGAGGAATGTCAAGGGTCCAGTGAGAGAAGGCGACATCCTCACCTTGCTCGAGTCTGAGAGAGAGGCCAGGAGGCTTCGTTGAGATCTTACCCTTCTGTTTTTACCCGGAAAATTTCATTTCATCATTTATAGAAATTAATTTATCTATATGTTTAATTTTTTTTTTTTAATCTTCTAACTTTTTTAATGCTCATACCTTATAAGTGAGTATGTTATATGTTCATATTAAAAATTCTCAATATTTAGCACACCCACCTATGTTGTTCATAGGTTTTGATTCTCCAATCATAAATCACATTTTAAAGGTTTATCACGTCACATTTAGAATATATACAAAAGTTTGTTAATCAAGCCACTCAAATTTCTAATATTATAAAACATATAACAAATTAACAATTCGTGATTCTCGAGTTAGGACAAACTCTCAAACAATTATTAAGAGTCCAGATTATTGGATAGAAATACTTGATTATTGGATAAAATGTGTTTATCCCAAGTGAAACTTGACACACGTCATACTCCTTACGATGATCAAATTATCTAATCTTAACTCATTTTTATGTGAATGTTCATTAAATCTCTGTTGAAGATCTTATGTCAAAATTTGTCTATCAAGACACTCAAATTTAGTATCTTATACAATAGAGTAAATACAATTTATTAACCAAATCTTTCAAACTTTAAAATTATCAATCATCCTTTTCAAAATACAAAGTATTAGCCAAACGTCAACTCCCAGTTAGCATTTTTGTTAGCAAAATTTAATAGTTATACCTTTCAAAAAAATGTGTATTTTAATTAAGAAAAGATTTAAAAAATTATTAAAAATAACATAAAAATAATTAATATTTTGATGCGATACAAACATATTTAATATAAAATATTTGGTTAAAATATTGAAAATTCTGAAAGGTATAGCTATTAAATTTTATTTACTCAATTTGTACGAATTGCTAATTCTTGAAATTTGTAGTAACCTTCAACCCATGGTTGTTGTCTACATGTTGGCTTGTAAGAATCTCAAACCAATACACTCTCACACACTTTCAAGGGTTCTCGTCTTCACATGATCCTTTAGTGTATAACGTTCCAACTTTTTTAATGTGCATTTGCAAAATTTCCTTATTTTTTGTGTTACTTCTGGAACAAAAATGTGCATTATATATCTTAATAATTGATAAATGATGTCAACAACTACAATGCACATAGATATAGGTGCAATAAAAACGTCGTATCATTTAAAGAATTAATTTTTTTTTTTGACAAAGTTAATATTTTAAAAAAATTAAAACTCATACAATTTTTGCGACATTTCACACAGATGAATTCTTGGATGTATTATAGACACATCTATTGTTAATATTTAAACGTATATAAAGAGTTTACTTTATTTTGTAACCCTAATTAAGACCTTTGAACACACCTCGTTCAATGGAATACGTAACAAAATTGTGAGGATAGGATAACTCGATCTATATACATATTGCTTACGGTTACAAACTAACATTTTTGTTTTGATATGATCAAATCTTTTTTTATTGCCAAAATTTGGTATGGAGTCACATACTCAACCATGCAACCAAATGACTTATTAGAATTGCCTTGTTGGTCTCATGCTTATAAAGATTCTTCATTTTTAACTTAATAGCTTGGTTTAGAGTCTTCTAACTATAAAGGTCTTTAATGTAAAAGACATTCAACTATTAAACGAAAATTGTCAACCCATGTTTGATTAATGCTAGGTCAGTGGTTGATGAAACATAATGTTTATCGTAGATCGTCAACAAAGATTTCTCTAACACTCACGTCTCATATAAGACGTGTACATCATCAAGTTTCTATCCAGACCTTTTACTATATAATACTTATTTTATTTTATAGATATACTAATTAGAAATAAGAGAAGGGATGACAATGAGGCGGGTTTGCCTAAACCATCACCATCCTCATTTTCAAATACCTAAACTCATACCCGCCCCATACCCATACGGTGGAAGGTTTTACAAAATACAAACCCATCTCCATACCCGCGGTTTTCGGATACCCATGGCCATGGGTAATACCCGCCCCATCAACTACTCACCATAAAAAATATGTAAAAAATATGGGTACTACCTGCTCAAAATTATGGAACTGATACATAAGTGGATGAAATTACGGTTTGGTTGCCATCAATTACATAAGTGGATGTTATATTTTCTGCATATAACATAATATCCTTGGTGGGGTGGGTTTGGGTATGGGGGTGAGGATTTCAAAAGCATATCCGCCCATCTCCATCAAAAATTTTGCGGGTTAGCCCCATACCCAATCAATGCGGAGATTCCCCGTATTGACTGGGTCGGAGACGGTTGGGTACTTGCGACCATGGGTTTAGTTGCCATCTCTAAATAAGAGAGTGTTTAATAGCCAAAAATATAAAATAACATAGTTCATTTTTTAAAGTAGATTGATTTTCTAACAGTTATTTTCTCTATTTCCATCGTTATATTTTGTTTAATCGATGAAAATATTATTGTTTATGTGTGTGTTTGTTTAAAATTTTCAATAACATATAACTTATTATTTACTTTCGGTAAAAACAGTAGAAAATTTACTTGATCAAGTTTAATAATATATTTTTTGTTTAACTAAATGTGATATATCACTCTATAAACATCTTTTTCTACAAATATAGATATAATATGAAAATTAAAAAGAATTATTGAATAAAAGAAAACATTATTAAAAGAAGAGAGAGATAACTCCATAAATAGCTCATTAACTAATTTTTTTGTTTGTACAAAAAATTTAGTTCATCGTTTTAGTGTACAAACTTTGACCAAAATGAAGTTGTCTCTCTCTTATTTTAATAATCCTACTCATTTTTACTAAAATTAAAATAAGTTAATTTTTAGGAAAGATTTAAGCAAAAAACACACACCTAAGTAATAATTTTAATTCCAATTAAACAAACTATAAAGATGTAAACAGAGAGTGACATATATTGTATTTGTTTAACCCAAGCTGATTAAATCTGATTAAGTAAATTTTCTACTCATTTTTATTAAAACTTAATAATAAGTTACATTTTGATGAAGAAAAAAAAACAAGAACAAACATAAATATTAATATTTTCAATTAAACAAAATATAAACGATGGTCGAAGAGAAAATGAGCGTTTGACAATCCATCGACTTTGAAAAATTAACCATATGACTATATGTTTTTTGCTATCAAACACTCACTTCTTTCTTATGTATATACCTAAATGTCTGAATATAAACTTGACAGAGCAATAATTGTTATTTTTTGAAAAATTTCTTATTCATTCCGGTTAAATGAAAACATATTAATTATTAATGCAAACTTTGAATTTGTTTCTATTTCTTTCCCATTTTGATTGTATCTCTAGAAATAAAATCCAACAATGAAAATAAGAAATCAAGAAAGTATGTCAACTACCAAAAAAATAAACAAAGCACTCTTATTAGTTGGGGTTAATATTTTCGTATGGCCTGAACTTTGACCAAAATAAACATCCTGGCCAATCTTTTCGATCTATAACATCCTGGCCCGAACTATACACCAAAATAAACAATTTGGCCAGATCCGACTTTTGACCGTTAACTTCGACGATCAAACGCGTTGACTAACGGTCAACGCGCCACGTCACTGTCAAGTCAAAAGATTTGATAAATATTTAATTTTTTTTTGTTAACCTATATTATGTCGGTGTTCAAAGTACCGGACGGAATTATCGATGAGATCCATAGCTTAATTACCCAGTTCTGGTGGGGACAGAAAGGCCAGGAGAAGAAAATATCCTGGGTTGCGAGAGAAGCCTTGATATGTTCAAAAGCACAAGGGGGTATGGGCTTCAGGGACCTTCGTGGTAGGGGTGGGCATCGGTTCGGTTCGGTCGAAACCGAACCGAAAAGATGGATACCGGGTCGGCTGCTTCCTCAAATGGCCAAACCGAACTCGAACCGGAATATAATTTGGTTCGGTTCACCCGAACCGAATTATAGACCGGTTCGGTTCGGTGCTCAAACCGAAAATGACCTGCTGTATGTTTGTGAATGCCCTGCTCATCTGTTTATGGCAGCTGCTGCCTCATTTTTTTAGAGGAACTTGAGACAACAAATAAGCACACAAAGTCTCAAACATCAATTGTCAACCATTCTAAAATTCAAGACAAGTACAAATACCAAAATCCACCATTCAAACATCAAAGTCTACCATATGAAAAGATAAATTACATCATACTTAAAAACATAAATTGAAACTCCAAAGTCCATTTATCATCTCTTGGTTCATCTGCTGTCTTTTTTCTTGGTTTTTTTTTATGCTAGCTAGCTTCATTTTACAGAATAGACATCACTACTACTAATGGAACATATTGATGAATGATTGTTTCCAAATATCGGATAGTAAAATCGCAAACTCAAAATCATTTCAAAACTGGAAAATGGAAATAGATAGTTACCAAAACATGAACATTCTCGGTTGCAATATTTGGACCGTCAGTGTGAGAAGAGCTGCCAGGATTTTTTCGTTTGCTGGATTTTCGATTGGTGGTGCTCATGGCTTTCGATGGAGAGAAATGGGCAGATGGCTACTGTGGTGATTTTTCAGTGGTCAGTTGCCGACTGCCGTCGACGAGGGGCGACAATGGGGGCCTGCGCCTGCACTGCTGGAAGCTGGATGGTGGTGGCTGTCGTGCTCTGCTCTGCTACCCCCGGCGCCGGCGGTGACTCATGGTGCAGAGATGGAGGGCGGCGACTCTCGAGACTCGAGTTGTTGTTGGGAGGCAGGCGTGGCGGCAACTGGCAATCAGTGATGGGAGGGCGGCGGCGACGGCGACTGAGGTTCGGGAGACGGAACGGAATGGAGTGGAGTGTGGAGAGCAGTGGAGTGGAGCTGTGGAGGGACGATTCACGATCGATTCGAAGGAGACTCTGGAGAGTGGAGAGGAGAGGGGCAGAGGGCGAGTCCGAGAGGAGAGGCGGAGAGGGTTAGGGTTTGTTTCTTTTGGGTTGGGTGCTGGGCTGGGTTTGTTTCCAATGGGAGGCTGGCTGCTGGGCTGGATTTCTTCAATTG